TTGGTCCTACATGTTTCTGATTGAAATGAAGAAGGAAGAACGAGAAGCACTATACTTACGTGTCGCAACTTTTTATAATAACACTACTGATGGTAATTTGAAAACTACATGGAATTTTTTTTTTTTAAAAAAAAGACTATTGTTATTCAACTGTATATCGAATCATTCAAAGATATTTACAATTTAAAATCACAAAAGATTTACCAAGATCTGATCGTCCACGAAAATTGAACGACAAAATAAATGAAATCTATAGCATTTACTTTGAATAATAATAGTGATATTAGTCATCGAATTTTATCAAGACATTATAATGTTGATCATAGAACAATTGGTAGAAATTTAAAATAACGAATAAATATTCGTTCAAGAAAACGAATTAAAGCATCGAAATATGTTAAAGATCAGGAGAAGCGTGCATAAAAACATTGTAAATTTTTATATCGTCATATTCCAAACAATTGTTTTATTGTTATGGATGATGAGAAACATTTTAGTGTAAGTGGTGTTGATATACCTGGAAACTCATTGTATTACATAAGTAATCCTTCTATTACACTAGCAAATATAAAGTACAAACAATATCGAAGACTTGAACCAAAAATTTTAGTATGGTTAGCAGTATCTGCTAAAGGGTGTTCAAAACCATATATATATATGTAAAAGAAACAATGCTATAACTAGCTATGTTTATTTGAAATAATGCATACAATGTCGATTAATTCCTTTTATCAAAATGAAACATTTAAAAACAAAATTTATATTCCGGCCTGATTTAGCGAAAGCTCATTATATACCACAAGTTTTGCATGCATTAGAGGAAAATTGTATACCTTTTGTACCAATGAGAAAAAATCCTCCCAATGTGCCTCAAGTACGACCAATTGAAGAACTTGAACAATGTTTCCTTGACAAGCAAAAGCAAAATTAATGCAAAATTTTTGCCCCGCTCTTTATTATATACTAAGATTTTCATCGATAGATTATGATGGCAAGGTTTCTAAAAAACTGAAAATCATATTTTTCAGGTCCTTGAAGACTTTGTGAAAATTATTTTTTGATAATGCCATCTTAAAGAACGTAAAATTCTGAACAAAACGAGGGATTGCTACGTTTTTTACGACCTTCTTTTGAAAAGTTACAGGTATCACAACAAAATAAAAAAGAATGCATTTTTCAGCCGGTTTTCAGCGATTTTTTGATAAAATTTACTTTTTTTCGTTTTTTGTGGTACCTGTAACTTCTCAAGAGAAGGTCGTAAAAAATGCAGCGACCTCTCATTTTGTTTAGAATTTTACACTCTTTAAGATGGCATTATCAAACAAGTAACGCTCGTCTGTGGACTCGCTCCAAATTATTCACTTATCTATATTACTAATAGTAACTAGTTCCGGAATGAAATTCTTGTTTTTGAATTTCTTCTAGTGAAGTTTTTTCCTTAACTATGATGATATTAGTATGTTTTACTACTCTTTAGCATTGCTAGCTTATTAACACAAGCTCATCATAGATTCTCGTTTTTTTATTTGAAAAATCTTTGATCAAGTTTTCCAGAAAAGACACTAATAATAGTAGTACTTAGACAAAAAAATCAAAATAGACTTCGGATTCAGGTTCCTGACCCTCAATTTCCCCTTTTCGAGTGTTGTAAAAAATATTAATGATTAATAATTAAAACCGACCTTGGATTTGGATTGCCCACTCTCGATTACCTTTTGCCAATTTTTTTGAAAAAAATTAATAATCAGTTAATTATTAATTAATCATTAATTAATTAAAACTAACCTCGGATTTAGATTCCTCACCTTCGATTACATTTTATCAAATTTTTTGAAAAAAATTAATAATTAATAATCAGTTAATTATTAATTAATCATTAATTATTTAAAATTGACCTCGGATTTAGATTCTTCATTCTCGATTACATTTTATCAAATTTTTTGAAAAAAGTTAATAATTAATAATTAGCTAATAATTAATTAAAACTGACCTCAGATTCGGATTCCTCACCCCCAATTACCTTTGGTCAAGTTTTATGGAAAATAATCCCTTTTGTTTTCACAGTATATTTCAACCAATCAGTGAAGTGCGGACATACAAGCAAGCCAGCAAATAATTTCCACAAAGTCTTCAAGAAACTGAAAAATACAGTTTTCAGTTTTTTAGAAACCTTGTCTTCATAATCTATTCATGAAATCCTAGTATATAATATGTTAGATAGAGCTCTTGATTGGCTATTCAAATCACTATTTGAATGTCTTCAACAAATTATTTTGAGTAAAATAATTTATAAAATAAAAGGTGCTTTAAATTTTTGATAACCACTATAAATAATAGATCTCGGACAACAAAAATATCTCACCATCTCTCTATGATGATGCATATAATGATTAAAAAACATAGACGACGGTAAATATTATATAAATGAGGATTAGTTAGTTATTATAGATCGGTGATATTCTTGATTTTTATGAGAATCTATTATCGATTATAATTTAGAATAACGTATCTCAAAATAGAAGTTTGACGCACGTATATTCATTTTTTTTTGTACTTATTCTGTGATGATATCAATTCGATAAGAAAAAAAAGCATCGTATGACGTAGAAAGAAGTTCGAGTAATTTGAACCTTCTGTTTAACTGTTGGCATTTGTCAATCATTACTCATACTTGTGTACTAAAAAGTCAAGTAATAAGATCTTTTGTACACGAAACTGAATAAAAATCAAGCGCATTTGTTCGATTCATTTGTCTTTTTTTTCTCTTAGATTTGATTTCTTCTTCAATATTTTAAATGATACACTATAATATATGTCACATTTAGAAAATCATCAAGGTGAATAAATGTTGTTTGAAATGTGGACATCGTTCATAATTTATTGGATTCTCTTCACCTATTCTTATGCTAATAATAATTATAATAATTTTTATAAAGGGTAAATATAAATTCAATCGAAAAGAATGTTTGAATATTTTTAAAATAGGCATGAGTTAATACGTGTTTTACCAAAAACAAATGAACATCTTCAATTAATTCGTCATTTTGAAGATAATTATGAAGTAAGATTTCAATTTTATTAGTTTACGAAAAAAAAAAAAAAACAAGTTTCTTCTAGGTCGATCGATGGTCTGAAATTCTACAGATCAATCGAGATATTAAAATGAGTTTACCACAGAATCAAGTATCAAAAATAAAACAATTATGTAAACAATATGGAATCGATGTTACTATTCTTAATAATAATTTAGACGAGTAAATTTTTATTGAATTGAATATGTAAAATTTTTTTTCATTTAATTTATTTAGATTAATCAAAAAATCAGATCATATTTCTAAACAATATAAAAAACGAATACAACGATCGATAAAAGATCGAATTCCACATCATCTTACTGATTATTTAACATATGAACAGGTGAAAATATTTCACAAAATAAATAAATCAATTTATCTTCTTTCGAATAGATTGTTCAATTTCTCAATAAACAACATAATAGATCTCCATCTTCAAAAAATTTTACTTCACTCTTTTCTATTGGTAATACATATGAAAATCGATCAATTTGGACAATACGAGTATGATTATTTTAAAATTTAAAAATAAAATTCTATAATAATTTTTTTGATTAAGATTGGTAAACCATCTGCACGACGTAATATTCTAATGGATTGTGGAATTCATGCAAGAGAATTTATTTCACCTGCCACCTGCCTTTATATGATTGATAAAGTAGAGTATTCTTATAATCTCTAGATGAATGAGAAAAAGAAAAAAAAAAGATGATATTACTTTGTTTTAGTTGATTGATGAAGTTAATAATAGAAAAGTATCAATTTTATCAATATTTAATATATATATAATTCCATTACTTAATCCAGATGGTTATGAATATGCTCAAACAGAAGTAATTTTCATTGTTTGTTTATTTTACAGAACTATTTTTTTTTTTGGTAATAAAATAGAGACGAATGTGGCGTAAAAATCGATCACCTAATAATAATAATAATAATAATTATTATTATTATAATACAAATTCAAATTGTATGGGAGTTGATCTTAATCGAAATTTTGGATATCATTGGATGGGTAAAAATTGACTTTTTTTTTGTTTTAATTTATTCTACCGTTTTTTTTTTCTCCCGTAGAAAATGGTGCATCAACAAATCCTTGTTCTGAAACATATGCAGGACCTAAACCAGATAGTGAATTAGAAACACAAAGTTTACAAAAATTTATTAAAAAATCATCTCAACATTGGGATGCTTATTTAACATTTCATTCATATGGACAATATTGGATTTATCCATGGGGATTTGCTTTATATATGCCTGATGATTATATTGAATTAGTATTTTCAAAAATTCTTTTTTTTTTATTTTTCACTAAAACAAAAAAGTAAATATTTATAATTTTATAGAAAAATAAAGCACAAATTGGCTCCGAAGCATTAAAACGTGTCAATGGTACTTTATACAAAATTGGATCAGCAGCTAATTTACTTTGTATATTTATTTATTTCGAATTTTTTTTTTATTGTTGTTGTTATATTCTTTGGATTTAGATGAATCTGCAGGAGGTAGTGATGATTGGGCTAAAGGGGTTGGGAAAATAAAATATGTTTATACTGTTGAATTACGTCCTTCAGATGACATGAATGATGCGCATGCACATTTTGCTTTTATGCTTCCATCAACATTTATTGAACCAGTTGGACAAGAAACATATGTTGGTGTTAAAGAATTTCTTCGATCACTTATAACATCTCGACGACAAATATCTTTATCACAAAAAAAGCCATGAAAGTTAAAAATTTCTTCGTGTTTTGTTTTTTTTTTTTTACTAGTAGTATATTTATATCTTATCTTTTCTCTTTTCTTGTTTAAACATTCTCAAATTTCTTTTTTTTTTTTTTTTTGTTGTTGTTGTTGTAAACATGTTAAATGATAGTCATAGACGATTCACTTACATATGTTAATGTTGATAGAACAGTTAATATCATGGAAATAAATAATAATAATAAATTAGAAAGTTCTTCATATCAACAACGAATATTAATTACTGGTATTTCAGGTTTAATTGGAAATATTTTATTTAATTATTTAATGAAAAAATATTCAACAAAATATGAAATCTTTGGACTTGATCAACATTTGAATATGTCAATAGATAAATTCTTTCAATGTGATGTAACTGATAGAATAAAATTACATAAAATTATTGAAGAACAAAAAATTAACATAATTATTCATTTAGCAGCTCAACTTGAAAACTATCCTGATATTGAAATGATATCACATGTTAATATTGATGGAACAAAAAATATTTTTGAAGCTCGTTTGTTATTATTATTATTATTATTTCTTTTTCTATTTTGTTTATTTAAAATAATTATTTTTTTGTTTTTCAGCGGGTGTTCACCATATAATATATGCAAGTACAATAAGGACAGTTTTTGGTTATCTTAATTATGAACCATATCTTTCAATTCGTAAAGAAACTTTTGATGATATAACAATGTTAAAAAATCTTCAAAAATTAACTATATCAAATAATCCACCTTTACCTGATACTCAAACATCTGGTCATGAAGTATATTCTCAAAGTAAAATTATTGGTGAACAAATGGCTATTGATATTGTTAAAAATAGTTCAAAATCTATTATTTGTGTTCGTTTTGGATGGGTCAATATAGATAATCAACCAGGAAATACATGGTCTCGAACTGTATGGTTAAGTCATCGAGATCTATGTTTATTTATTGATAAAGTATTACAAGCTCCTGATAATATTAGTGGTATATACTTTCTTACATCGAATAATCATCGTCGTTGGGTTGATTTAGATGATGCTAAAAGAGATTTTGATTTTGTACCACAAGATGGAGCTGAAAAATTATAATAATATTATTTTGAATTTTAATATCAAAAATCTAATTTAATAAATTTTTCAACAAATTACAAATATATGTCATATAAAATGAATCACTTTATTATTTGTATAATAGAATAATAAGATGTGACATTCTATTATAGATTAATAGATCTTTAATATGACAGTAGACGAAAAAAAAAAAAAAAAAAAACATTTTTCTTTCTCTATGCTCAATTCTTTTAAATTGTACAAATTACTCAAAAAAAGTAACAAATGAGAAATCATTTGATGATTACATTCAAGAAGAATCAACATCTATACAATGAAATAGAAGCCAAACAAGTTATTAGTTTCACTCCATCCTAACTAAAGTATATTAATGTAAAAAAAGTAGCTAGATTCCAATTGTATTCAACTTGACAAATAAGAATTCTATAATAAAAAAAAAGGTGTGTATGTAATTGTTACCAAACTTGACTCTCAAAAATACTTTCTTTTAGAAAAGATTAACATGTGTCATAATTTATTTCCGTCTTTATTATATATTTAATTAACATTATAATTACTTCGTGTGAAAGTAGAAACAAATAGAAACTAGTCCTTGTATTAAAAATTATAAGATTTTTACAACTATTTATATCTAAAGATAAGAATGTAGAATTGATGTTCTAAACCATGAATCTATTAAATGAGTAACACCATGCAAATGAAATGTTATACTATAAAACCTCAATGTCAAAGTATTATAGTTACAAATTAAAACTGATACTCTTATGTAGGTCTTTATAGTATGTTAACACTTTTAATATTAAGAAATTAATGAATAGGTCATTCTCTATGAATACCCTAATATTTTGCTTACTGTTCATTTTGTTTAAAATATAAATAGAATAGCAAAAAAAAAAAGTCATAGATCTATATATTCAATATCGTTGATCAGTTGTTGTGATTCTTTTTCTATAAAATCTTTGAAAGAGGTTTCTCTACTGATGTATAAAATAATAATAACGATACACCTATCATTTATTTTGATAGAGTATACGATTTGATAAAATAATTCTGTTACGAAATCATATATGAATCCATTCAATATTTAGTAATCTTCATAGTATGTTTTTGTTATCAAAAAAAACATAGAAAAAGAAGGTGGAGTAGAAGAATCATTCAACTGAATAAATCATCATCGTTTTTCTTTCTCTTCGTCATCGGTAGTTATTATTATTATTCTCTTCGATGTGTTCATAGTATTCGGTACCATAACATTGATTTATATAAAGAATGAAACCATCCGATCTCGACCCGACCAAACAAACATTGCGTAGATTGAATGACGTAAGTAACGAAAAAAAAAAAAAAAAAAAAAAAAAGAGTACAAATATATACATAAAAAGCAAAAGCACTTTCGTTCTTGTCCAATACGTGCCATCAACAACAAATGATGATTATCATCATTTGTACCTCTTGTACATCAATACACAGGAAGGAAAAACGTAAAATGAACATACATTTCTTTCTTCTCTTTTTACAATTCATGACGACGCCCATCGTCCACTGCACGTCTTCATTTATGTGCCTCAAGCGGATGAGATGAAATGAACGTGTATATGCAAGAGAGAAGAGAGAGTGCAATTATCACACACACAAACCTCCGTCGTCGGTCTGTCTTAGTAGACGTGTAGGCTAGAGCTCAAGTAAAGGAAAAAAGGAAAGACTTTTTTCTCTCTCTCTCTCTCTCGTGTCTCTCTCTCTTTCTTAGTGTTTCTCTTCTCGTCTCACATTCATTCAGTCATCAGTCATGCCGTCGTGGTGCATATGTTCCTCACTATTTCAATCTCTTCTGATTATTTTAATCATTTACTTTGAAAAAACTTTATCAGCAAATGATTATCAACATCAAATATTGAAAGCTGATGTTGGCCAAGATGTAACTATGTCATGTATATTCGATGAAGACAAAATTGAACAGGTTAGCAAAAAAAAAATAATAACCGAGCCGAAGAATTTTTATTTATTTATTTTTTATATGTATATAAAAAAAACAACACCAAAAGCTCATAGATGCAGAAAAACATTCGTTAATAGGATCGATTATTTTCTGTATAAAATAAATTCATGACAGTTGTTCTATATATATATATATATATATCTATTCATCATATGGCAAACAAAATATAAACTATACGTGTAACGGATCATTGTTTATTCTTTAGGCTGAACATTAGACGAGCGTGTCTATATCGATTTTCGATTATCCAGCTGGACACAAGAAGATTCTCTTCATTGATCAATAGTTTATATATATATCTTTTTTTTTTTGTTCGATAGTTATTTTAATGAAAACTTGTATATATTTAATGATATTGATACATATAAGAATTCATATATTTTCTTTTTAATCAACTATAGTCTTTATGTATATTGATGAGTAAATTTGGCGTAACATGCATCAGCTTGTTTAACAGATTGATTTATCTGATACGGTCAGTATGAATGAAAATAAACTTTTATCATATGTCGCCTTCCCGTGAGATTCAGTATTTGAAGAGCTCTTCATCAACTTCGAATCAGTCTTTAGATTCTTCTTTTTTTTTTCTTCTTCTTCATCTTCGATCAATATTATTGTTACTTTCAAGGACATAGATATACTTAACATACGTTAAGCATATTGACCGTACGGAAGCTCTTATTTAACTTTCTTTTTGATTTACGGAAAACAAAAAAAAAACAAGAAAAAACGATAACAAATTAATCATGAGATATTTTAACATATGTTTATTGATTAATTAAAAACTATCTAATAATGACATTTTTTTTTTTTTGTCATAGAAAAGCAAAAATGTTTCTAAAAGATTAAATGTTCAATTATAATAAGTTCTAGATAAAATATTTCTAATTTCTTTTGTCTTTTTAGAAACAAAAAAAAACCCTAAATGTTAAGATAAAATGATTAATATTTAATTTTAGGTGTCCTTCATGCGTCAGATGACAGGTGACATATTGTCACTTGGTTCAGAATTATTTGTTCATGAATTTTCATCAAATCAACATATTAAATTAATTCAATTTTCAACCAATCGTTTAGATTTAAAATTAATATCAGTTAATCAAAATGATTCAGGCATATATACTTGTATGTTAAATGATGAAAAATTAACATCATTTTTATTAGAAATATTTGGTAAGAATCTATCATTCATATATCTTATTAAATACTAATAGAATATGAAACAAATTGCTTTTTATCTTCTTAAGTATGTTCTTCAAGAATAAAAAGAAAATGAATTATTTCCTTAGTGATGTAATAACAAAAAAAAAAAAACGAGAAATTTGACAAATAATGGTTTAAGTTCAGTTATTATCTTTACTATTCATCGAATCATTAAAAAAAATTAACATGTCATCATTTAAGAACTATAAATGGGAAAGTTATTATTCTATCTTGAACGGAAAAGAAAATTTTTTTTTTTTTTTTGGTTATAAGATGATTGCATATTGTATGTATGTATAATCTCATTGTGCTAATTGCAGGAGGTTCTTTCTCGTTTGTAATCTTGACAGGCATCTCGATAAATTAGCGTTAATGACGCGTCCGTATGGTGATCGATACGGAGAAGAAGAGAGATAAAAAGAATACAGCTCATGTCTTGACCTTTTAGACACACACACACACACACATGAAATATATAACTTACGTTGATGATGTGTTAATCATTTTTGTCTGCATCAATATATGTTCAACAGGAAAAAACAAACTAGATTATATTACTCAAATATACATTTAAATAAGATAACCATATATATATATATATCTTCAGGCTTTGGTTTTTTATTTATATGTGTTAAGTTTATTGTTTTATATTGAATGAAAAAAAACATTTCGATTTATATATCTAATTGTGACTATTTGGATGTGTGACTATTAATTCATATGATTTGCTTGTTTCTTTTTTTTTGTTTTTAATAGTCCCACCGCGATTTATTTCATATTTTCCAATTGAAGGAAGTGTTTCATATTCGGAAGGTTCATCAATGAATTTATCTTGTCGTGCTTTTGCTGTTCCATCAGCAAATATAACTTGGATTTATCGTGATAAAAATAAACAATCAAAAAGTAATTATTCAATTTAATTTGACAAAAAAAAAAAGAAAGTTTTTCTTTTTTTTTAAGCAATTCATTATGGAGAAGATGTTTATATATCATCACTTCAATCATCAGATAGTGGTTCATATGAATGTATTGCTTCAAATAATTTTCATGCATCGATTAGTCGTTCATTTTATGTTACTATTCAATGTAAGATTTTTTTTTTGGTTTGCATGAGAAATTTGTAAGTAGAAGTAACTCAATCGATTGTGAAAGTATTTCCGTCCATTGTGGGTCACACTACTCAATTAGACTGTCTTTCCGATGGGATAACATTCAATTATGATAATCTCTTAGTTCTTTTTTTTTTTCTCTTTCCTTTTATATTACATAACTTTTAATAAAAAAGAAAAACTTCATTGATAATTAATTATTTGTATGATATGTTATAATAGATTCTCCTCGTGTAATGATATTAAATGATAAAATGACAAGTGATATTCATGACACAGTCATAGTAAAATGTCATGTATGTTCAATCCCAGAAGTGATTCAGATAAATTGGTTAAGACATGATCAAATGATAATGGATGTTAATATTCTTATTAAAACACAAACAATTGATCATTATCAATGTTTAGAATCTACTATGGAAATTGTTGTATGTTGAAATGAAACTTTTTTTTCTTTTTTTGTTAGAAGTTTTATTTTATTTTTTTGTTTTAAAAAATAGGATATAAATGAATATCAATTCGGACAATATGAATGTCGAGCAGAAAATAATCTAGGACAAAATTTTGCTTATATTGATATTCAACAAAGTAATAAAATAGAAAAAAAAAACAATTATTTTATTTTATTTTTTTATTGTTAAAAGTTTCAAGAAATATAAAAATAAAACAACAAGAATTTCATTCAAATGAAATTAATCGAAATGGACGTA